GACTTTTTTGCCGTATGAGTATACGTTGCCCAGGGTACACAACGTGTAGGTAAGCCTATCGCACACCCCACCATTTTGGTATTAAGTTGCCAATATTCATGAGTTCATTCAATGGCAGAATTCAACTCGAATTTAATGTTTATGACGCAAACGTGAATGGACTTATTAATTACATAAGTTTATATATTTTAACAGATATGTTTAACACTCTTGGTGCCTAGGAAAATATAAATATCCCATTAAGTTCACTAATATCCCTAATGCGCATATATTCACTGCGTTTGCAATCATCCGTCACTCTTAGTGCTCAAGACCATGTATATTTTTCAAGTCGCTGCTTTCCCGGCTCTATAAGTTCTGTTCGGCAGCATTCAGTCAAATGATAAGGTATATTGCGCCAAAAGAAATGTTTGATTTTTCAAGGACGAAAGTCAGATGACCCCACTCGAATCATTTTCATGACTCTATTTCCTCATCTCAGTTTTTTCCTGCGATCCAATTCACTTTATTTCTTGTCATTAATATATTCAAATATTGGCCTTCAGATACGAATGAGCCACTGTATCGTGTATCTTTTTTAGACAATTGGTTACATTAAATACGTCCGAGTTGCGTCCGTCTGAGCAAATCGACCCTTCCCCTACTGTCGGCTGCACCATCAGAGAGCTCTAGTTTTACCTCAAAAATCCGTACACGAAAAAACTCAACTAAAATTCCCCTACGCAACTGAGCAACACAACACTTGCCGGTTTCCTTAGTTCTCCACACAGACGTTCAAAAATGTTGAACTCAAACGACCAAACATATTACCTAATTTGGGAGCAAAAGCATCAACAATTGTAATAGGCATCATTCTATTGTATCGCAAAATGACAAATAAGTTACAAAAGTACGATAGTTAGAAGAAAATATAGATAATCAAGGTGACGAAAACGGCAGCAAAGCAGGCACATGTTACAATACCACATTTGAAGCGCTTCTGAGCCTTCTTTCTAAATTTAAGCAAGCAAGTCTCCACTTGCTCGTTCAAAGATGCGTAACCGTCGTCCTTCTCGTTGTCAATAACGATTGTAGCGCGTGCAACTTTCGTAGCTAGGGGTAACTGGGCTTCAATTCGAGATACAGCCGCTTCATATGTTAACTCGGGGTTGCGTTTTAGTAAACGAGAAAGTTGAACCTCCTGGGAACTGAAATCAATGAAAATTTCGAAATAGTTTTGAATCATAACAAGATTTAAAAGATTATCACGAGAGAGCAGCTTTAAAATCTGTTTAGGCAAGATCCTCCTGTTATGCAACTTGAGTAAAGGGTGGCGTCCAAAATCCACTGCTGAAAAGCTCAAATTCTGGCCCCACCATTACTAAATCAATTCAATCATTAAGAATGGACGATCCTCTCACTGGAAGTGCATCGGTAGGCATCGAACCCGACCTTGCAAACGAGCACGATGAATCTCTTAACATCATATTATACACCTTCATAATCGTATTATGCCTTTAGAATCAACTCACTGTGCTTAATCGCTCATTAGTTTTTTGTCTGTTTATTGGCACTCATTTAGAACTCGATGAATGATCACCCTTAACACGTAGAGCAAACCTTTTTACTGAAGCCTAACCAATGAAATCGTTCATTTCCACCCTTCTTCCAAAGCACACTCATCATGCCACCATATTTTGGACACATAGAGTAAAGAGAAATTGGAATCCAACTGATGCTCTTATCTCTATCCAAAGAAAGGTCAAAGCCGCCTTTTTCTCTTCACTTAATAGTAGCAAAAATTGTTTTAGATATTAGAAAAAATGCATTTCACAGCCTCTCCAATCACCTCTTAATTTACCAGACAAAGTGGTAAAAGTTGGGGTTCCTGCAAGTATTTGTGGAAGGCCAAATTTGAGATCAGTACGCATCTATTGAGCACAATAACAAACCAATCAGAGTAACAACTGTAACATTTTAGTCTTTCCTCAGAGATCAAGTATTTACATGCAATTGTCATCACTAGCAAAAAAATGGCAGAGGCTTCAGCACTTTTCACCATTATCAGAAAAATAGCCAAAAGATAAATAAGATGAAGACTCTGTAGAAACCAGGTGAGGTGATTCAATAAACACGCTCCAAAAAATTTCAAGACAAAATTTTTGCAATCGAAATGAGCTCTATTTTACAGAAGTGGACTGGGTCTCTCATCCACTATTTGCATACTAATTCAATGTTTGAAAAAGAATGAGAGGGAGAAGGGAATCATAAGTGATCCAGTTAGGTTATGCTGTGCACAATTGGTGTGTTTTATGCAGCAATAGCCTGTGAAACTTTCATGAAAAACAAATGGCTTCATTGTAAGTTTAGTGAATAGAAAAGTGAGCAAGAATTCGATTTCCACTTCGATATATTGAGACGACCTTTGAGTTACAACATACCAGCAGGTGGTCAAGAAGCTTAAGAAGAGATTCTGTTCAGAAGTTTCGAAAATATTTAACTCTACTTCCAAACGTGCGATCGATCGACATTAATACTTTGCTAAAATCATGCAAGCTAACACCACCTTGGCAATTGAATTTCAAAAAATCTGAAACTTATGGCAGCTGACAGCCCGCATAAAGGGAGTCGCACCACCAAAAAAGACTTTTAAGCTTAGCCAATTCAGGCGAGCACGATTTGATTCCGGCAGAGGAACCTAAAGAAAATGAAGGGAAATCTTCGCATTGAACCTGGTGAAAGAAACAACTCTGTGGGATTTGTTCTTAGTAAACACATTGCTCATCATGAGCTAGCAACAATGAATCCTACTCCTCTGTTAACGACCAATTTCAGAACTGAGAGAAGATACGTCAGACAAGTATTTCGTGATGGCATTTATAATCAAGTCGTATTTACATAATTTTTTCTAAACCAATCCACGTTTAACCATGGAATTATCACTATGTGAACACACTTGGAGTGGGTGTATTTTGCCACAACAATGAAAAATAACTCGTGCGTAAAACATGCAGTCAGAGTCAGTGTTATGACCATAGGTGAAGAGATGGAAAGGGATGAAGGGCCCTTCCACTAAGGAAGGGGAACACAAGTTCGAGCCAACATGCAGCTAGCTAATAATACATCACAATAGGATAATACGGATATCTTTAAATCAATTATAGGAGGTAAGAAAGAAGAATATAGAAACTATGGAAAATGATCGCTAATATGAGTAAATAAAACGCTTGTGTTTAGATCAAAATTGGCAACTGCCTTGGAAAGGATACACAACATATACTATTTTTCACTTTCAAGGCATAAATCGAGAAACAAGAACTCACAAAAAAAAATCGCTCAGCTAAAGTAAATGCTCACTTAAGTGTACCTAAACTCTGTCGATAAGACAAGTAAATACAAAGTAATGCTTGTATGCTAAATGCGATCACTATTAACGGAGTAAGAATCTTAACAAATGTATATTTTTTAATCGGTCTGAGAGGTAATCTTGCTTTGCATGCTCAAGAATGGGACTGGATAATCAGGTAGTCAATCAATTACTTTTAACATTATTAGGCATAAGTGAGCACGTTTTATAAAGGAAATAGAAAACATCACGTGATTTGTAAGTGCTTTTCCTCTTTCTGGGTTCCCATAGACTTAGTATAGTTCAATAACCAAGTGAAGATTTAATTGCCAACATTATAATCTACAGATAAACAACTTTACGATTGCTGAAAATGAAGTGTAATAATTTGCAGCTTACAGAAACCAAGAGATTGGTAATAATTATCACATATATTCCGAAAAAATCTTAATTATTATTTTATGTAAATTTATGATGATGAAACAACTGTCACTCGATCTAATGAAATCCGAGTCTCAGAAAAGATTTTCAAGAAAAGGAATAGAAAACAAAGTCGGTCTTGGTATCAGCAAACAAATGAATCGTCCCGTTAACATTTATTAAGTTTCAGAATATAATTTTTAATATTGCTGATTGTTCAAATGAAAAACATAATTCAATAAAACCAGCTCAAATATCGAATTGTATCAAACAATAGATATTACTTGACGTAAGTAAATGAACTAGGATAAAGTGAATTTATCTACCTCGGTTTCACAGAAACGGAAAAGACTAAAATTTTCACAAACCATAATAATTGAATAGAAATAGTTAATTGAATAAGAAGAGATAAAAAATATAATACATCACTAACGCAACAATCAACGTACCAATTTACAACGATGATTTCCGAAACAAACCATAACAAGGTACCCGTTTCAAAGAGAAGGGGAATATCCAAGACGACAAAGGGCTGCCCTTCAAAGAAATTTTGAAAAATTTGATAGGCGATTCGTCGGAATACAACTGGATGAACGATTCCATTAAGCACCTTTCGTTTATCAGGATCCGAAAAAACCATTAAACCAAGTTTATCCCTTTCCACTTTTGTTCCATCATCACTGAAAACGGAAGGACCAAAGGCTTTGAGCATTGCTCTTTGTACTTGTCTATCATTATCAACAACTATTACGATATTATTATATTAAAATTCTTACGATCTCTAGCTATTACATCAGCGTCAATCACTGGAACGCCTTTGCGTTTTAGTAAATCTGAAACCGTCGATTTTCCAGTGGCAATACCACCTGTTAAGCCCACCAAAAACATAATTCGAGATAGGTCTCTCAACAACAACTAACTCTCAAACATACTAATTAGCATGTGGGTTTATCTGTCCGGCTAATTTGGAAACATTAGAAAATGTTAATTTTATTTAATAATTGAATAATTTTAACGATTAATAACAGCTCAAAAATTTTTAATAAAATGTTCGATACAATTTTACATATTTCTGATAAAATGGAAATCTTGACTATTAATATCCACATTTATGATACCAATACATAATTAATATTAATTATAATAGATACAAAAACTTTGAAATTTATTTACATTGCTGTGAAAATATTAATTAGTCACCATGATGTTGCAAACGTTATAAGTAAGCATGCATTTTTCTACTGTACAACAAATTTACATTAAATAAAACGCTGCTTTGTATGCAAAATTAAACATGAATACTTGAAGGTATTTTGTGCTTTCCTAAAAGTCGAAACATTTTAACCATCCGTTTGTTGCATTTTATTCTTAGTTTCGTGCTTTTGCGCTTATTGTGAAGCACTATTCAAATCATAATAAAACATTAAAATAAGCTAACCGTCATAGGTACACGCAACGGAATATACTAACATCGAAACAAGTTTTTAAGGAAAAAGTTGGATCAAACCATGGATTGCAAAATTCACAGTGCCTTTATATAAAATCGTGCATCGCATCAATTAGGTCATTAACATGCGATTTAAAGGAACAGTTAGCCGTGTTATTGCTTAAAGTATTAAGTGAGTAAAACTAAACTGGATGCTTATTCAAACACGCTAATACGGGCACGCCGAAGATAGCTGAGTGACTTTGACTCACACTTATTCAACCAAGATCAAATGTAATTTAATTGGAATTGTCTAATTTGGCCAAATGATCTACTTCTATTCTTCTAAATTCAAAATTTTCATTTAAAATTTCTCAATTCTCGCGTAGTTTGGCAACAAATATGTACTATAATAAATTTCACTAACGTCCAGCTGAATGTCCCACCAAATTACAAGACTGCAAGGCCTTCAAACTTGATCATTCAATCAGTTGATATTTCTCCGGAAACCTTGTTAGAAAAACCAACTGATGATGCATGGCCATTTTGCCTAGTTATTTCGTTCACAAATATATGAATCTTATATACGGTTGGGTAAATATTGCAAGTGGTTAAAATTGCATAAATGACCTCTGAAAATTTAAAAATAATAACCCGACTACCAGCTTAAATGCAAGAGCTGACACTTCAAAATGATCGAATAGAAAGGTAGGACCTTTCGGCAAAATTAAAGGGTTCAAAATTGCTGACACTTCAACTAAACACATGCGCTCTTTTCCTTCGTCTTATTTTATTAAACTTTCTCAATCTATTGAAATTCTAATTTTGAAACAGTTGGAAATAACACAAACGTTTTCGTGCATACTCCTAAATCAGGCAAATCCTTTGAATCATGGTACAATAAACGCAAATATGTGTCCACGAAATATTAAGCCAAATAGAATTAGAAAATAGGAGTTCGTTGCCTCGTCAAAATCTGGATCCTACCAGATACGAACGTATGAACACTAACTAAAATTCGATTAACTCACTTACTCTGAAACTGTTCCGGTCATGGAAGAAGTGTTGGCTGGTCCTTCTCTCACTTCAATGCTCATTTCAACTACCTCAAAATTATACCTGGGCATAATAAGCGATCATTTTGATATATATTCTGTTTCGGAAGAGTATTTCAGTTATCCTGCATTCATTTCAGAACTTTGAGCGCAGCTTAGAGTGCCAGTAAGAACCCACCTGTTCAAAATGTGGGAGTTAAACCCCAAAGTGAACTCATAAGAAAGGTTCGGTGGAGTTAGAATGGATAATCGCATGCGTCTAGGCCTTCAATGTACTTACGCCTCATTCCGTACAATTTATTGCACAGCTTAACACTTCAGCTGAACAGAAACGATATATTTTGAACAAAATTGCTCACATTGACCAGTCTCACGGCTGATCTCTATTTTCGCAACAATGAAACCTTGAAATATATGAATCTACTGATTAAAAGGAACCACGCTCATTTAAAATTGCTCAACGCTTAAGATATAACCACAGCCTCGAGGTAACCAAGTTTTTTTTATCCACTACCAGTTCCTACTGACAGCTTCTCGGTACTGAATAATAGAACTTGCTTTGGTTTGAAACTGAGCATCTTGGTCTCTACTCGAATACTTGATATCCACTAGGTGCTAACCCAACACCTGTTATTTTGTAACAAATAATGAGTACCATGATATTGAACAGGATTTTCAAGAATTTTCATCTGTACTTCTTTAGAATAACCAAATGTGTGATTTCCGTCCTTATTTGAATTGAGAAACGTAAGTTCTTTTTAACTTCTATTATGCGCCGAAGGTGAATATTTGGTGAAATGGATGTTGTGATATTCCAGCTAGTGATTTAAATGAAATTTAAGACTAATTTTAGACATTGTTATAACGATTGACTCCCATTTAAATAATTACCTAAATTTATGGTTATGCAACCTTTAAACAATTGTTTGACATTTGTGCCAAATTTTACATCACAGCTAACCTTGATGACTATGAGTGCACCATTATTTAGTCTGCGTACGTCAAATGGATCGTTCTTACTGAAGCGTCCACATTTATTTTAAAAGGAGTTGATTTCTAATGTAGAAACAAATCGTTGGACGGAGTAGGAGTTGTAGAGATAAGTGCAGAGAAACTTGCTATGCATACAAGTGAATTTATTCGTGCAAAAGAAGCCCGACGAATTATAGTTCCCCAGTTTTATTATTTACGCAAAGCCGTCATCGCTGAACAAAGCAATCTCATGCGCACTCAGACAGCAGCGAAAGTGCGTCGTGCTACCTGTCGCGTAAGGAATAAGTGCATTCGCCAATCACTACCCACTGATTGGTTAATGCGAACCACTTCATTATTACATAAGGCCTAAGCTCCCAGAAATACAGTCCAAATAAACGTGTTCCAAGCCTTAGACCCGTTTTCTCTATAGCATTTTTGCGGTAGATTGGCTACTTCTGTGAGCCTTTTCAAACATAGGAGAAACTGCCATAGAGATTACTGAATATAGTCAAGGCTTATTAGTGTAACAAACCGTTGCAGGTTTACATATTCACTAAACGGGGTGTTCAATAGACTTACCTCCACGTGGTGCACCCTGGAGAACGTATACACATACGCCAACAAGTCTATATACCGGCAGTTGACTTCTGACTGCAAACTGCCATGGCCCCACTGTATGTCATATTTAACCACTTCCATAGTATTCATCTTTTTTTTTCTCTACCTTTTTGTCTGTCTGTCTGTCAATTTACCCCTTTGAATCACTCTTCTGTTCCCCCTTCGACATTTTTCGCTTTGATGTTCCTCCCCTCTATGAAGTCCTAAGTCAAATAAGAGGCTAATGATAACTATCAAAACGCCTGCCATTTGATATAAATAAATAAATAATCACTAGACTCCCAGTTATTACAATGAGAATTGAAGTTTTCGTCCATGGACTGTTGGACAAAGTTCCAATTTCGATGAACTTATTCCTAAGCGTTTATT